GGGAGGCCTGAGAAACTTACAATTATAGCAGAAGACACCTCTTCACAGGGCAGCAGGAGAGAGAAGGAGAGCGGAGCAAAGGGGAAAGCCTGTTGTAAAACCATCAGATCTCGTGAGCACTCACTATTATGAGAAGAGGATGGGAGAAACTGCCCCCATGATTCAATTACCTCCACCTGGTCCCACCCTTGACATGTGGGGATTATTGCAATTCAAGGTGAGATCTGGATGGGGACATACAGCCAAACCATATCATATCCTTTATATTAGCATACTGTATCAAAGTATAATTTTCTTTTTTTTTTTTTTTCCTTGAGACAGAGTCTTGCTCTGGCTCTGGCTGGAGTGCAGTGGCATGATCTCAGCTCATGGCAACCTCTGCCTCCCAGGTTCAAGCAATTCTTGTGCCTCAGCCTCCCAAGTAGCCGGAACTAGAGGTGTGTGCCACCATGCCCAGCTAATTTTAATTTCAGTTTGTTTTTTTTTAAGTACACATGGGGTTCGACATGTTGGCCAGGCTGGTGTCAAACTCCTGGCCTCAAGTGATCCTGCCACTTTGGCCTCCCGAAGTGCTGGGATTACAGGCTTGAGAAACTGCCCCCAGCCTGAAGTATAATTTTCACAATATGAAAAGCTTGACTTTCATACAAATAATGAAGGAATATGTATAAGATATTTTCTTTAATTTACAAGGGAGTCAGCAACACGGTGAAGCTAGTTCAAGGAGTGTTTTGAGAGACAGTGTCTGTAGTGCTCCAGGAAGGGCATTCCAAAATGTATTCTGAGATAGAGACAAAACTTGTTAATATCCTAAAGGGAGGCCGGGCATAGTGGCTCATGCCTGTAATCCCAGCACTTTGGGAGACCAAGGCAGGCGGATCACCAGAGGTCAGGAGTTCAAGATCAGCCTGACCAACATGGTGAAACTCTGTCTCTACTAAAAACACAAACATTTGGTGCGGTGGTGGGCACCTGTAGTCCCAGCTACTGAAGGGGCTGAGGCAGTAGAATCGCTTGAACCTGGGAGGCAGAGGCTTCAGTGAGCCAAGATCATGTCACTGCACTCCAGCCTGGGCAACAGAGCAAGATTCTGTCTCAAAAAAAAAAAAAAAAAAAAGTGTATAGGGAATAAAACTGTCCTCTTTGGGAGTTATATTTTCTACTGGACAGAAATCTGTAAGTTAACATATATACATATTCTCAAGTATATTCGTAACACATTCTCTGGCATATTTCCCTACATTAGTGGTTTTCAAAGCATGGTCTCAAGTTGGAAGCATCAGCGTCACCTGGGAACATAGACATGCAATGCTTAGGCCCCACCTCAGTCCTATTGAGTTAGAAACTCTGGTAGAGGGCCCAGCAGCTGGTTTCACAAGCCGTGTAGGTGATTATGATGTACTCTAATGTGTGAGAGTCACTCCTCTAAATAGTCAATCTTTATTTGTAAAACAAGTATCTATGAAACAATGCTCCAGTATGACATTAAAAGGGCACACCACCACATTTTAACTTAATTTCTGAATTTAAATATTTTGTGTGTCTGATGTTAAATTTTCTGTTTTGTTTTTCAAATACTCTTAAGACAGTTTTCATCTGTTCCTGATTTGCTCTTTTTAAATAAAAAATGGTTTTCCAAATCTATCCATTTTTCTTTTCTTTAAGCTATTGATAGGATGAAACAAAAGTTGAGCCATTCTTACATCTTTTTTTTTTTTTGAGATGGAGTCTACTCTGTTGCCCAGGCTGGAATGCAGTGGTGTGATCTCAGCTCACTGCAACCTCCACCTCCCAGGTTCAAGCAATTCTTGTGCCTCAGCCTCCCCAGTAGCTGAGATTACAGGCACCTGGTACCATGCCCTGCTTTTTCTTTTTATTTTTTTAGTAGAGACAGGTCTTGCCATGTTGGCCAGGCTGGTCTCCAATTCCTGACCTCAGGTGATCTGCCTGCCTCGGCCTCCCAAAGTGCTAGGATTACTGGCGTGAGCCACTGTGCCAAGCTTTTTTTTTTTTTTTCCTTTTTTTTTTTTTTTTTTTTTTGAGATGCTCTTCTGTTACTCAGGCTGGATGGAGAACAGTGGTGCCATCATGGCTCACTGCAGCCTCCATCTCCCAGGCTCAAGAGATCCTCTGACCTCAGCCTCTTAGGTAGCTGGGATGACACGTGTGTACCAGCACAAGCAGCTAATTTTTTGTAGAGATTGGGGTCTCCCTATGTTGCCCAAGCTGGTCCAGAAATGCTGGGCTCAAGTGAGCCACTGACCTTGGCCTCCCAAAGTGCTATGATTACAGGTCTTACGTTCTTAAAATTTTTCTTTGACATGATGAAGGATAGCCTAGTAACGTAACATACTGTTGTTTTCAACAGGCTATCGCTTATGATTTGTAAAAGAACTCTTCAGAAATGAACTCAATTTTACCATGAATTGGGACACTTTCCATCTCTTTCTATTCTATAGAGCAGTTAACTTGTCATGAGCTCTGTCTTGAAAACTTGAAAGCCTGCAACAATCAAACCAGCTGCACCTAGTGCATGGGATGGGCATGGAATTGAGGAGAGAGTTCAAACTATGGTCAGCCCTCTGTATCCTCGGGTTCTGGATCCTTGGATTTAACCAACTGTGCATCAAAAATATTTGGAAAAAGTAAAACAAAAACAAAAATTTATAAATACTTTATCACAGGTACTTACAAAGTATGTTGTATTAGATATTATAGTAATCTAGAGATGATATATAGTAATAAATCATAATATATGATAACTATATCATATAATAAATAATATAGTAATCTAGAGATGATTTAAAGTATACGGAAGGATGTGCATAAGTTATATGCAAATACTATGCCACATTATATCAGGGACTTGAGCATCTGTGAATTTTGGTATCTCTTGGGTCCTGGAACCAATATCCTGAGGTTACTAAAGGACGACTGTGTTCAATTTCTTCTTTGGTGATTAGTCTATTCTGTAATGCATTTTTGTTGTTTTGTTTTTCAGTTTTTGCCTCTTCAAGTCAAGGTCAGAAACTTAGTTGTTCTAGACTACACATTAGCTCAAAGCTACCAGTAAGCACACTACTACTGCAATCTAAGCAACCGATTTTTTTTCTCCATCTGATTGGCAAAAATTAAGATAAGCATCTATCGATGTCACAGCTGTAGGGAGTTTTCCTGAGCATGTTAATTATGACAGCCCTTTTTGCTAGGCACCTAGACGATTCATCAAAATGAAATAAAATACCCACACACTTAAAGAAGTTATCTGGTTTATTTCCTTATCTGGGTGCTGGTTATGTGAGGTCTACAGTTGATGAAAACTTATTAAGCTTTATATTTATAATAGGTACAATTTTTTGTATGTGTAGTGTAGTTCAATAGTTTTTAAAATGTCTTTTGCCACAGTCCGCAGCTGTGTATAATGCCATTCACTTAACAGTGTAAAACATGACAATGACCTGAATCTCCCTGGCTCCCGGGATCCTACCCCCTTAAGTTAAACAAATAACTTCCACTGTCAGGTAAACGGGCGGTTGGCGCTGGTTTTTTTCCAGGGAAGGATTCTGGGAGAAGGAGGGGACGCTAGCACTTCCTCCCTGACACTTCCGGTGGGCTGCGGTCCGCTCTCCACCTCAATTCTAGCAGCCCCCTCTCTCCCAGAGGGCGTTAGTCCCAGTCACGTGATAATCGACTCAGTTGACCCGGGGCGCCACCGGGAAAAGAAATTCCCGGGCCCTGGCTTCCTGGCGAGATGATGAGGCATCGGGGGTGAAGCGAGGCATGGGATGCTGGAGCGGGAATGAGGGGGCGCCAGTGTCTCCGGAAAAGGGTGGAGGTTGTCTGCCCTGGCCTCTCCGCAAACATAGTGTGTGCGGGCGTGAGGGCTGTGGGTCTGGTAGAGAAAAGTCCACCGCCACCCCGCTCCTGAGACGGGGTGCATGGGTAGGGGACGGGTAAGACAGAGCAGGCCAGCCGGCTCAGAGTCCCCGTGCTTCCCTGGCGTGGCGGAAGGAAGGGCCCCTGCCTCCCGGGGCAGGAAGTGGGGCTTGTCTGGAGCTGGGAGTCCTTTCAGGTCCCAGCCCCAGGAGGACCTCCCAAGGACACCCCCTTCCCCAGCCCTGCTGTGGGGCTTGTACAAGAACGTGCTTAGAATCAGGCTGACTTTTGCACACTATTAGGAATCCCTTCGTCCCTTTCCAGACCCAGAAAGTAGTAGTTTTGGGGTTGAGACTTAGGCATCCATCCATCTGCACGTTCTAAGCGCCTAGTCTATACTATGAAGTGTGCTAAGCACTGGGAGGACTCGAGCTTCCAGGGAAGGGGAAATCGGAGGCTTGAATTGGCAGTCATAGTTAAGGTTCCAGGGGCAGAGACCTAACTGCGCCTTGTGTGTAGTGCTAAGGCGGCTCCATGAGGATGCCATCAACCTTAAAGGCGGGTGGCAGGAGCTGGTGGCTGAAGTATAGTTTGTGTACCGGGGGTTGGGAGGCAAGGGTGGGAGGTGTGTGTCTTCAGACAGGGAACAGCATGTGCAGAGACTTCAGGTGAGAGAGAGCATGGCTCCCCAGGAATGAATGCATTTCCCATAGCTGGGAGAGTATCATCTGGAGGTTAGAGAAAGATGAGGCTGGACAAGTAAAGACCAAATCTTCCTGGCTTTTGGATCACCACAGTCAAGATAATGAACACATCCACCGGCCCCCAAAATTTCCTTATGTCAGGGGCTATTTTAGGAAGTATGACCATGAAGGGCCAGCCTGCCAGGGTGCAATGACTCACGCCTATAATCCTAGCATTTTGGGAGGCTGAGGTGTGCAGGTGACCTGAGGTCAGGAGTTTGAGATCAGCATGGCCAACGTGGTGAAATCATGTCTCTATTCAAAATTTTAAAAAGCCAGGCGTGATGGCACATGCTTGTAGTCCCAGCTACTTGGGAGGCTGAGGCAGGAGAATTGCTTGAACCTGGGAGGTGGAGGTTGCAGTGAGTCAAGATTGCACCATTGCACTCCAGCCTGGGCAATAGAGCGAGACTCTGTCTTAAAACAAAAAATCCGGGGGCGGGGTTGGGGGGGCGGGCTGGTCTGATAAAGTATCACTTGAGCAGAGAGTGGAATGAAATAAAGGATAGCAAGCCATGTACAGAGTACAGCAGGCATGGAGGAGGGAGCAAGGCCGGTGTCCCCGAGCAGCAGCAGGGAAGCCGGAGTGGCTGGACTTGTGTGGGTATGGGGAAGAGGGGAGAGAGGTCACTCATCTCTGAGAGGCCCGGGACTTTGTTTTGTCCCCTGCTGTACCCCAGCACTTAGAGTGGGAGCTGGCACAGAGAAGGCACTCAATTGATGTTTGCTGAGCAGACAAATGCCTGGAGTAGACATCAGAGCAGGGTTTGGTGGCAGGGTGGGTCAGGAGAGAGTTCACTCAACAGCCTGGTGATAGGGGAGAACAAGAGGCCAGAGGGTATCCATCTATGATGGGGACCAGGGGTCCCTGCTGGGCAGCAGTGTGGGAGACACACGGATCCTGGCCACACCTCAGCCCTCCCTCCCTTGCAGAGGTTCCGGTTCTCTGGTGATCTGGACCGTCCCGACTGGGTCCTGGCTGAGGTCAACACACTGGCCAAGATGGTTGAGTGCACAGGGTCTACTCTGGGTGGAGGAGGGGCGCTGGGCTGGGGATTGTGGGTTTAGATGATGGTGAGGTTTCTCTGGGGTTAGGGCCTCAGTGCTCTAAGCCTGTGTTACCATGCTTTGTGACCGTGATCAGTGGCTGGCCTGCTCTGAGCCAGTCCCCAGGAAGGAGGCGTGAGGTTTACCAGCCTGGCTGATTTAAGGAATTCTCTTGCAGTCCTCTGTGAAGTTGTGGCTACTCTGCAGCCAGGTACTAAAGAGCTGCTGGGACGGGGGATTGATGTGACTACAACACCCAGCACCCCACTGTCCCATGACCTTATGACCCCCAGTGCCCTGAAACTCTGCACTAGGCCCAGGGAAATGGGTAACCCAGTCTGTCAGCCTCTCTGGGCACCTCCCATACTTCTTTCCAGCCTATCTGTTCCTTATCGCAGGACCCAGGCTGTGGATGAGGGGCTGGTGAACAGGGGCATGGCACCCTCTTAAGGTCACCTTTCCCCATGGTACGAAAACATTCTGAAGCTCAAGGCTGATGCCAAGTTTGGTGAGTACTCCGCTGAGTCCACAGGCCCCAGGCAGCCTTGGGACCTCGACCTGGTGCCTGGTACAGAGGGGCCCCACCACCCCTCCCAGCAGCATCCTTAACCTGCCTTCCCTAGTGGAGAAGCATGAGGGAAAGAAAGACATTGACAGTCCCACCTTCCTGTTCTCTGCCAGCTCCTGGTGTAGCAGTAGTAGTGCCTGTGGCTTCAGGGGGCCTGGGAGCTTTGAGCTGAAGTTAATAGGGCAACAGGGAGGTGGCTGGGCCCATAGTGACACCCCCTGTCCCACCCATGGGTCCTTCAGAGTCAGGCAATGTGAAGGCCACAGTGGCAGTGCTGAGTTTTGTCCTCTCCAGTGTGGCCAAGCACAGTGTCGATGGCGGATGCTTGTCCAGTGAAGTGCAGCAGCTGGGGCTGCCCAAAGGTACGGGTTGTGGGTGGGCAGCTGGGCAGCCTGTGGGCCAACGGCTGCTAGAGAAGGGGCCAGGCCCTGTGACCCTATGGTGTACCCTGCCCTGTCTGGGCCAGGAACCCAAGCCCAGCTCTCACCTGTTACCTCTAGAGCTACTCCGTTCTACCCCCAGAGCACGTGGCCAGCCTGTGCCACTCTTATGAGGAGAAGCAAAGCCCCTTGCAGAAGCACTTGGGGCCTTCAACCTACGCAGTAAGTATGAGCCCAGCCAGTGTCCGCGCTCATTCTAGAAGGTGCACGCAGCATGCAAAGTGCATGGAGAGTCCAGGGAGACGACTTAACCACGGTCACATGCCCAGCAGCTGCAGAGCTGGGACCTGGCCCTGGGTGTCCTGACTCCACGGACTCTGTGGTATGTACGTACAGGATCAGACCTCACCCTTTCCTCCTAGCTGACCCTTTCCTAGTCCCCTATGCCCCATGTGTGAGCACCCAGCTCACTCTCGTTTCTCCCTCTGCAGAGGGTGGTCCCTGGCAGCATGAGTGGGAGAAGGGGCAGCAGAGACTGTGGACCCCTCAGCTGCACCTAAGACCTCTGTGTGGTCTAGCTGTGTGTGCTGGGGGAGGCTTTTGGCCACCATTTCCCCCTCTGTAAATGAGACCGATACCTGTGTGAGTGCCAAGGCCGGTGTGAGTGCCAAGCACTAGGAGAAGGACCCTGAGTGAGCATGGACGTGGGAGCAGGGGTGTTCCTCGACTTTATACACCTTGGGGGTGGGAGTGGGGCTCCCTGCATGGGTTGACAAGGCATTGCTTTTCCCCACCCCACCTCTGTCCCAGCCCTGCAAGTCCAATCCTTGGGGGTCTAGGAGGGAAGAAGCCCCTGGCTGTGTGACCTTAGGCTGGTGCCTGGCCCTCTCTGGCTCTGAGTTTCTGGGAAAGTCAGCACCCAAGGAACGCCCTCCAGTTTAGCACCTTGACAAGAAAGGTGGGGACACTGGGATCAGGTCCACCCCTCTGGTCCCAAACCTCTTGGCCCCAGCTGGAGGATGAGGAGATGCTGGGCTTGGGTGGGGGAATCAGGGGTGTAAAGGGGCCTGCTCACCCCTCAGCTTGGCTCAAAGGCTCAAGGCATCAAAGGCTCAGCCTGCCCCTCAGGAAGCAGCCCGGGCCCAGCGAGACACTCACCAGGACAAGGGCAACTGTGATGAGCAGGAGGCCCAGGATAAGGAGAGCCACGGCATAGCTGGAGGTGAAGGTGTCCAGGGGGCTGGAGGCTTTGGGGCTAGGAGAGCCTAGAGCAGAGCAAGAAGGCTATGACCAGGCAAGGCGCTGCCTCGGACTTCTCAGAAGGCAGAATCTGCACCCAGAAGGTGCTGCGGGAACAGAGAGCTGGGGCTGGAAGCACCTTGGAGGGCTCCACGAGGAGGGAAGGCAGGCTTCAGATCAGGGCATGCGGAGGCAGCAAGTCCAAGGGAGGAGGCAGATGGACAGAGGGAGGGGGCCTGCAGAGGGGAAGAGGTACTGACCGAGGTCTAGGATGACCGTGTCTACCAAGAGGCCCTCTGCCTCCCCCACGGTGTGCAGACCCTGTCACACACAGTCTCACACGAGGGCCTGGGCTGGCGCTGCCCTGAAGAAGGTGGCAACCAATCTGGTGGTCAGTGGGTCCGGCCTAGTGGGACGATCATGACAGACTTCAGGGGCCTGGGCAGCCTTAGAGGACTAGGGTAGGTCATCTCTTCCAGCCTCGTGCCCTCAACCCCAGAACCCTGGTCTGAGTCCTGGGTCACCCAGGACCACCCTGGACCCACTGGAATTCGTCCAGCACCACTTGGTCAAAGTTCTGCAGAGATCTGAGGACAAGGGTCAGCTGGGGGTCAGGAGAGGATGAAGAGGGTCACAGCTCTACCAGACGAAGCCTCATTCCTTGTGGCGCCCGGCCCACCCCTCTGATGTGGGCCCTAAACCTCCGGCTGGCCCAGCCCTGCAGAGTAGGTGCCCAAAGGCATCTGTAGCCATTCCCGTCATGCTGGTCTCCCCCAGGGCCCCTTCTGGAACCTGTTACCACAGATCTCACGGTGGGGGGTACAGCTCAGTCTCCTTTCCTTCTCATCCCCCTCATAGGGGCTTTGTCCACTAAGGCCCCTGACTGCTAGGGGACCCACACCCATGGCCTCCTTCTTTCTGACTGCTGGCCCTTCCACAGCCTGGATACTTGAGCCCTGGGCAGAGGGGTAATAATCCCAGGACTGTCTTCACAGGCAGAGAGGGTACTTGGCACCAGGCCCTGACTCCTTGCGCTGAGCTCAGCAGCAGGCGTGTCACCAAGGCCCCCTTGGCAGAAGGGGCTTAGCCCTGACAGCCAATCACTCGCCATCCCTGTGTGTTCTTGCTAGGCATCCACCCTGGGGACCCAGCTTTCCCCCTGCCCCCAGCTGCTGGCAGCCCCATCTTGACTCATCCAGGGTCCTGGAGGCCACTCCAGGTCGCAGCCAGCAGCTGGGAGGGGCACTTGGTGTTTCTGCATCTTTTTTTATGGAGCTCCCTTCAGTGGGAAGGGCTATAGACTCAAGGGAGACTGCAGGCCACCCCTTCCCCACTCCCTGGCTGGGTGGGCTTCCAGCTCAGGAGTCTGACTGGAAGGACGGGACCGTCCTGTCACAGAGGCAGGTCTGAGTAGTCCAGGCCCAGTTTTACCCTCCAGCGGGGCCCCTCCCATTCACTTGTCCAGCTGGCTTTGCCCAAATCACAAGTGATGTCTACGTGGATTGTGTCCCCTGTCCCCAAGGGGAGTCTGGCTCCAGTCCTGGCTTGGAACTTGGAGACCTTAGAATTAGAGGCCACATCTGGCAGGGTGGACCAGCATGGTCTGTCCACAGCCAGGGCAGGTACCATGTTGGCAGCCCCAGACCTGACACCACTGCTCCCGTGTCCCCTCTCCACTTCCGTCCTGCACATCACCTGCACTACATGCTGTCCCTGATGAATCCAAGCTGTCAGCTTCCGTCAGGTTTGCCGGGAAGTCACGCTGACTGTAAGAAGAATGGTGCAGCCTGAGTTGGGGGCTAAGTGGGAATGGGCCTGGTGTGGGGTGGGGGAGGTGGGGGTGAGGCAGGTGTCTGGTGCCTCTCTGCTTATTTTCCCTTCTCCCTTGCCCATGAAGGAGGCATCTTCTTCATGTCCCTCTGCCACCCCAGGAACATAAAATACTGCCCCAGCCCCAGGTCTGTCTTTCCTTGGACATAGCCCACCTACCTTCCTGTGGGACTCAGGGCTTTGTTTTGTCCTGTGGCCCACATGAGAAGCAATTATCCCTGCTCTGCTCAGCTGAGAGGACAAACTGAGGCAGAGCAGGGGAACAACTCTGTCATAGTCTGCCTGTTAATGGCAGAGTCAAGACCAGCCCTTCCCTGAGTGTCAGGTCCAGTGGACACCAAGCGTGGAGGCTGTATTAGTCCATTTTGCATTGCTCTAGAGGATTACCTGAGACTGGATTATTTATTTTTGAGACAAAGTCTAGCTCTGTCGCCCAGGCTGGAGTACAGTGACACAATCTCAGGTCATTGCAACCTCCGCCTCCTGGGTTCAGGCTATTCCCCTGCCTCAGCCTCCTGAGTAGCTGGAATTACAGCCATGCACCACCATGTCTGGCTAATTTTTTGTATCTTTAGTAGAGACAGGGTTTTGAGACAGAGTTTCACTCTGGGCCAGGCTAGAGTGCAATGGCGTGATCTTGGCTCACTGCAACATCTGCCTCCCAGGTTCAAGCAATTTTCATGCCTCAGCCGCCCAAGTAGCTGGGATTACAGGCATGCACCACCATGCCTGGCTAATTTTGTATTTTTAGTAGAGACGGGGCTTCACCAGGTTGGCCTGGCTGGTCTTGAACCCTTGACCTCAAATGATTCACCCGCCTCGGCCTCCCAAAGCGCTGGGATTACAGGCACGAACCACTGCTCCCAGCCCTGAGACAGGGTAATTTATAAAAGAGGTTTCTTTGCCTCACAGTTCTGCAGGCTGTACAAGCATCTGCTAGGCTTCTGGTGAAGCCTCAGGAAGCTTTTACTCCTGGTGGGAGGCAAAGAGGGAGGAGGTGTGTTGCATGGTGAGAGAGGACGCAAGAGACGGGAGGCATCAGGCTCTTTTAAACAACTAGCTCTCTGGCGAACTCATAGAAAACTCACTCATTGAATCACTCGAACCAGGGAGGTGGAGGATGCAGCGAGCCGAGATCGTGCCACTGCATTCCAGCCTGAGCTGTGAGGGAGACTCTGTCTCAAAAACAAAAAGAAAAAAGAAAAAGAAAAAAAAACCTCACTCATTACTGTGGGGAGGCCACTAAGCCATTCATGAGGGATCTCCCACCATGACCCAAGCACCTCACACTCTAGGCCCCACCTCCAGCATTGGGGATCACATTTCAACACCAGATGTGGATGGGACAAGTATCCAAACTATGTCAGAGGCCTCCCCCTCCCTCTCATCAGAGTCTTCTGTCCTCAGTTCAGGTGCATGCTGTCTTCCATGCCTGGCTTCCTAGGAAGTCATCTTGGCCCGAAGGGGTTGGGCAGGGCCACTAGGCCGAAGGTTGGAGCCCTATCTCTCCTAGTCCCAGCCTGGGTCTCCATCACTGGCTAACCAGCCCTGTCACTTTGGCCTTGGGCAAGTCACCTGTGCCCTGCTTCCCTTTCCCCAGCAGCCAGATGGGGATAATAGCATCTATTTCACCCATAATCAAGTGCTCACTTGTTAACAGGAACTGAGTCCCAGAGGAGGTGCAGGTGGAGTCATTGAAGCAACACTGCAGCTGGACCTGGGTCTGAGTCCCTGCTCCTGGCTGTGAGATGCGCCTCTCCCTCTGTTTATTCATCTGAAGGATAGGGCTGTGCTGTTCTGGGTTTGCTGTGACAATTGAACTGGCCTCTGTGAGTTGGTGGTGGCCTCCTGAGATGGCTTGAGGTGAGCTGGAGGTGTGTATTGAATGCCCCCTCGCACCCACGGGGAAGACCCACTTAAGGAAGACTCACATGTCTGTATGGAGAATACAGGTTCCCTGCCCCTCAGCTGTCCTCTGTCCCTTCCCAGCCCCCTCTGCTGTCCTGCAAGCTCTGGCGGTGGCCATCCAGCTTGGTGGCCATCTGACTGATCCACTCTTCCAGGTGGACCCTCTCTCCTCACGTGGTGCAGGTCCCATTGCACCACCTCCAGACATGCCATACTAGCCCCCAGAGCCTCCTTTCCCTGTTACCCAGCCCCAACCCCCAGGTATGTGCCACCTCCCTAAAGCCTGCTGTGTTCACCAGCTGTGTTTGAACTCAGTCTCTGTGCAAGGCCTCATGCAAAGGCTGAAACAGCCTGGCTTGTAAAGGGCCAGGAGACCAAAGCTCAAAGAGAGAGTAACGGTCTCCCAGAGTCCACTTAGCCTCAGCCCCAGAGCTGCATCCGTGCTGTTCCTGGCTCCAGTGAACCAATTATCTCCCATGATGCCTTTAAGGGCTCCTGTGGTGATGGAGGTGGCTGGAGAGAACAGGCTGCCATAGCCCTCCCTCCCTGAGAAGGCCCAATGGGGAACATTTTAGCCTTCAGGGCATTCCTTCAGGGCATCCCGGGGGGCATCTTCTAGGGACCTCTCCTACACCCTGCCCCGCCCTGGCTCTCTAGTGAGAACTTGCAGTTGCTTGGACAGTGGGGCTGACCCAGCACAAGTGCATCTATTAGGCTGGTCTTCGGGGTGCTGGGGTGGGGGCAGGGGTGCTTCAGGGATAGGAAGGAGAGGCCTGTGTGTTCCAGAAGTACAGAGGAACCTGGTGCCAGCCTCAGTCAACCCCGATGTGATGATCTTTCTACCCATCCTCTTTGATGTCTTGATTCTGGCTGATGTCCTTGGCCAGGTAAGCTTATGGTCTGGGCTCCTGGGGTCCCCTCACTGGCCCTGCCCACTCCTTGCAGGTAGGGGAGTCTTCGGGCCAGGACTATCCTTGGCTCCCCCTTCCAGGTCATAGGTTCAAAGACCATTCCTCGGTTCCACCACCACCAGGCCTCAATGGTGTCCTGATGGGCACAGGAGCTGCTGGGGCTTTCTAGACTAATACCCTTGCCTATCCCTGTGTTCCCCCCTGCAGTGGGGCTGCAGGAGTCAGCCTCAGTCTCTGCCCTGCGAGCCTGCCTTACCTTGCCCTGACAGCCCCACACCTGCCCTGGAAGACCCCCCACACCCACTGGCTCTGATTCACTGTAGAGCAGCCAGGGGCCCCGTTGCTCACACCCTCTGGCCTGAGGATGACTGGCTCTGTGATTGGGTTTGGGGCATCAGGGAAGGACGTGGGCCTTGCCCTCAGCAGCCCCCATCCCCACTCTGGCCCCTTTTCAGTCTTCCTCCTCTTGTGGGCTGTACCCTGGGGCCCTCCCAGCTCCTCATATCAGATGACTGTCTAAGTATCTAGAAATCAGTTTTTTTAAACACCGACCTTGGATTGCTTCCTGACTTTTTCATACCCCCAAAGGGCCAGCCTTTCTCTTAGGATTGACAGTCTCTCCAGCCCTACTGGACCAGACCAGGCAGGCATAAGGGTATCCCTTCCCCAGCCCTCTTTGGGGCAAGCTTTTGTCCCCTTCCTGCCACCTGGCAGCAGGACCACACTTTGGTGTCAGGAGGGGCAGCAGAGACTGCGGACCCCCGAGCTGTGCCTAAGTCCTCTGTGTGGTCTAGTTGTGTGTGCTGGGGGAGGCTCTTGGCCACCATTTCCCCCTCTGTAAACAAGACGGATATCTGTGGCATGGAGGGCGGGAGGCCAGTGTCAGTGCCAAGCACTTGGAGCAGGGCCCTGAGTGAGCATGGACATGGGAGCAGGGGTGTTCCTAGACTTTATGCACCTTGGGGATGGGAGTGGGGCTCCCTGCATGGGTTGACAAGGCATTGCTTTCCCCCACCCCACCTCTGTCCCAGACCTGCAAGTCCAATCCTTGGGGGTCTAGGAGGGAAGAAGCCCCTGGCTGTGAGGCCTCGGGCTGGACCCTGGCCCTCTCTGGCTCTGAGTTCCTGGGAAAGTCGGTGGTGTTGGAACTCCGGATTCATTCCTCAGCGTTGAGGCACTGTCTGTGGAAGCTGTGGGACAAGGTGAAGGTGGGGAGAGGAGAGGCTTGGAGTTTGGGTTTCAGCAGAGGGATCAGCAGAGTGAGGGGTCGCCTGTGTGTAGAGGAAAGGGAGTGAAGGCCAGGAGTGAGGAATGAGTCTGAGTGCACCCAGGATGGTGCTGGATCTCCTCCCACATCCACCTGGCCCTGGTCAGGGGAGAAGAAAGACCACAAGACAAAGGGGAAACTGAGTTGGGTTCACACATGTCCTTCCAGGACCTGGAGGTGCCACTGTCTGGCCATTATGCAGTGAGAAGTGGGAGAAGGAAGATTCCCTCCCCATACCTCGTGTTCTCTGTCCCAGGTCTCCTGGCCCCCTGTGCACCTAAGTTCAGTCTCTGTCGGCCCCCAGCATCATTTCTAGGGTTGGTGGGAGGCAGCTGGGAACAGGCTAGGGGTAGGTGGAGCCTGCTTGGGGGAGTCTGCTTGACTGCTTGGGCCACTGCCCATGGTAGTGGGGAGCTTTTCTGGCACACTGACTGCACCACCCAGGCGCTGCCAATGACAGCCCCCAGGGAGTGTTTGCAGAAGGCCTTGGCAGTGGAGGTGGCGGACTCCACCAAGAACAAACACCTGGGGTGGGGTCAGGGAGAACCACCCTCCACTTACCTGTCTGGAGTGTCCTCTGTACCGCACTGTGCGAGTCTACACTCCCAGGCTGAACACCCTGAGGGAGGCCCTCCACTTTAGCACCTTGACAAGAAGGGCAGGGACACCGAGATCAGGCCCAGCCCCCTACCCCCAAATCCTGCAACCCCAGCTGGGGGCTGAGGAGATGCTGTGCTTGGGTGGGGGAAACAGGGGTGTAAAGGGGCCTGCTCACCCCTCAGCTTGGCTCAAAGGCTCAAGGCGTCAAAGGCTCAGCCTGCCCCTCAAGAAGGAGCCCGAGCCCAGCCAGATACTTACCAGGACAAGGGTGAATGTGATGAGCAGAAGGCCCAGAATGAAGAGAGCCTTGGCATAGCTGGGGATGGAGGTGTCCAGAGGGCTGGAGGCTTTGGGGCTAGGAGTGCCTAGAGCAGAACAAGAAAGCCATGGCCAGGCAGGGCCCTGGATCCCATACTTCTGAGGAGGCAGAATCTGGGCCCAGAAAGTTATATGTCATGGACCAACCTCAAAAACATTAGCTAAGTAAAAAAGCCAGACATGAGACCACATATTGCATAACTCAATTGATTTGAAATGTCCAAAAAAGGCAAACTGATAGAGACTGAAATGGGCTGATTTACGTCAAGAGGCAGCGACTCAAGCTCTCTAGACTACAGGTAATATATCTATGAGAAAAAATAAGGAAAAGAAAAGAAACTTAAATATAAATAAATGAAAATAATACTTCTCCCTGATTATAAAGAAAATCACATTATTTTTATAATAATTCAGAAGACAAAATATGAAGAAAAGTCTTTAATTTTGCCATCCAAACATTCTGGTTTGTTGCTTTTTATATTTTTTTATGCATATAAACATTTTTAAAAGTAGAATCATAACATATAGTCTTTTGTCACTATGTTTTGGGCATATCTCTATGGCAGTAAATATATCCTTGGCATCATCATTTTTAAAAGCTCGATGTATGTTAATCTAATAATTTCCACCCCTGAACTAAATTTTCTTATATATATATATATATTTTTTTTAATGGACTCGAGCAACCATTTTTGGACTGAATTCATAGAAGGAGAATCTCTGGAGGAAAATAACATAAAACAGTTTGAGGATTTTTAATAGAAATTTTCAAATTATCCTGCAGAAAAAGTGGTTCAGTTTATACTCCCACCAACAGGGGTGGAGCTCCAGTTTCCCCCTTCTATTTGTTCTCTTTGCTGGTATTTAAGCAGAAAATCTCATTGTTTTCATTACATTTCCTTGGTATCTAGTGCTTTTTAATCTTTTCTTTTTCTTTTTTTTTTTCTTTATTGAGATGGAATCTTGCTTTATCGCCCAGGCTGGAGTGCAACAGTGTGATCTCGGTTCACTGCAACCTCTGCCTCTTGGGTTCAAGTGATTCTCCTGTCTCAGTCTCCCAAGTAGATGAAATTACAGGTGCCCACCTCCATGCCTGGCTAATTTTTTATTTTTTACTAGCGACGGAGTTTCCCCATGTTGGTCAGGCCAGTCTCAAACTCCAGACTTCAGATGATCCACCTGACTTGGCCTCCTACAGTGCTGGGATTACAGGTGTGAGCCACCAGGCCTTGCCTTTAATCTTTTCTATCTGGTTATTGGCCATTTTTATTCTTATGGGAAGTGCCTATTTCTCCATTCCTATTTTCTGGCTAACCTCCAAAGTCACATTTCACTTAATTTTTATCCTGCTGATTGAAAGCATTTATCTTAGTGATTTTAATGTAAATAGGAGCAGGACAGACTGTAATTATCTAGGTCTTGCTCTGTCACCAAGGCTGGAGTGCAGTGGCATGATCATAGCTACTGCAGCCTCGCACTCCTGAACTGAAGCAATTTTCCTACCTCAGCCTCCCAAGTAGCTAGGACTACAGGTGTGTGCCACCATGCCCAGCTAATTCAAAAAAATTTTTATGGAGATGTGAATTTGCTATGCTGCCCAGGCTGATCTTGAACACCTGACTTCAAGTAATCCCCCATCTTGGCTTGTCAAAGTGCTGGAATTACAGGCATGAACTGCTCCCAGCCATGAGCTCATTTGGTTTGCTAGTGGCATTCTTGGTATCTTTTCATATTGGAGGCTTTGGTGCTACTGCTGAAGTATTACACTCACCATCCTGGGTTACAGGTCTTTTGTTTGAATATTGAACGGAAGGAAGTGTTTAGTTCTGCATCTTTGCAGGTATACAAATGTGCCTAGGAGGACTCTGCTTTATATCCATTCAAAGTGAGAAGTAATACAGGAAGATTTTGCCTGGCTAGAGGCCTTGAAAGAATGGAGTATTCTGGTTTAATTCTATTGACTTGGAAGTATGAAGGTGAGAAAAATTCAAAACTTGTATTTCCTGTTGAATACAGTTTGAAAATATAGCCAGTGATTCCACTTTTCTTCTCTAGTAAGTTTGGACATTCCAATCTACTTGGTGTTTTATATAGAACTGCTAGTGTGCCTGCGACTTACATTGTGAAGATATGTTTTTAAAACTTGAGAGGTAAGAGGGTGTGAATGGTGTTGTATGAGATCAGGCTGGATGAGAACTGACATTGCAAATATACTTTTTAGACTGAATCTCTGATTGCCACTTGTTTTTTTATTTAACTCAAAAATAGAACACATTGGATGCAGGGTGGGAGCAGGAGGGAGATTTATGTCTTTTAATTGCATGTCTTTTTTTCATATCAAGACAGAACATATAGTATCCCTGGCTTTGGACCTACAGAAGGAAACACATTTTTCTACCTGTTGTATGCCAGAGGTTCTTGAACACCTGGAGGGATTACTGCAGCACAGATGGCTGAGCCTTACTCCAGAGTTACTGATTCAACAGGTCCAGGGTGGGGCCTGAGAATTTGCACTTATAAAAAGTTCTCAGGTTCTGCTGGTGCTGCTAGTCCAGAGACTACATTATTGAGAACCCTCTTGTCTACTAACTGTCAATTGTAGAACTCTAGAAAAAAGCTTAGTTTGGTGTGGGAGAAAAAGCTCAGAGATCATGGAGCGAATCATGAAAGATTCAACCCCTGATCCCAGCATAGTGTGGAATTCAGGTAGCAATACACAGTGACATAACACAAGTCTTGATTTTCATGATTGCAAGTCATAGCCAAGTATCAAGTGAGAAAATCAGTTTCATTTGCAAGGCTTAGACAGGCCAGGTGATTCTAAAGAAAGAGGCCTTGTATTTGCTTTAAACAGCTTTGGTAAAGAGCTTTGAGTGCTTATTAAATCTAAAGTTTTGTGTTTTTCTTTATTTTCTTTATTTTATTATTTTATTTTATTTTATTTTATTTTATTTTGAGATGGAGTCTTTTTTTTTTTTTTTTTTTTTTTTTTTTTTGTTGAGACAGAGTCTCGCTTCGTCGCCCAGACTGGACTGCAGTGACCGGATCTCAGCTCACTGCAAGCTCCGCCTCCCGGGTTCATGCCATTCTCCTGCCTCAGCCTCCCCAGTAGCTGGGACTACAGGCGTCCGCCACCTCGTACGGCTAGTTTTTGTATTTTTTAGTAGAGACGGGGTTTCACCGTGTTAGCCAGGATGGTCTCCGATCTCCTGATCTTGTGATCCGCCCATCTCGGCCTCCCAAAGTGCTGGGATTACAGGCTTGAGCCACCGAGCCCAGCCGAGATGGAGTCTTGCTCTGTTGCCCAGTCTGGAGTGCAGTTGCTCGATGTTGGCTCACTGCAACTTCTGCCTCCTGGATTCAAGTGATTCTCCCGCCTCAGCCTCCTGAGTAGCGGGGATTACAGGTACACGCCACCACACCTGGATATTTTTGTATTTTTAGCAGAGACGGGGTTTCATCATGTTGGCCAGGCTGGTCTTGAACTCCTGACCTAAGGGGAGCCACCGCACCCGGCCCAAAAGCTTTGTGATTTTAAAGATATTAGACATGTTTCTTGTTTTTAAAAAGTCTAATAATGTAGGAGAATAAGAGAAATGTTTTTCCAAGAGAAATCCTTGTGATTATTTTACCTTATTGGAATGTTGGATAATATAGTCTGCTTCATTAATCATCAAACATGCTATGGATTTTCCATTTTTATAGGATTTGTGTCTCAATTGAGGTAATACTGGTAATTCTTGTACTCCATCTGAAGATGAAAAATGTAGGCCAAAATCATAGACCGTACATTGAAGCTGGATTATGAAGATAGCTCTGGAGGAACATGTAGACACACACACACACTGACACACATATATATAAAGTATAAACACATATATATTTTAAAGTTTATTTTTAAAGTTTTAAAAGCAAAAGCCGGCCCCTCCCCTCTCCCGGAGTAAGCAGGCCCCGCCCCTCACCCCAAGTGGGCGGGGACAGCAGTTGCATGGGCAGCTTCCTTTGTGATGCCACAGGTTCCTCTGGACACACTGCTGCCTGGCCACGCCTCCTTTCCCTTTCATCTTTCTCACTGACCAATGGGCTTGGAGCATTAAGGCCACACCCCTTTTCTGTGTTCTATTGGCGCCCTGGTTACGCCTCCTCTGGCTCAGTCACACAGCTGACTGGTAGGTGACTGGAGGTGTTCCCTGATGTGGCCCCAACCCGCCTCCCTCCCCACCCCGCGATGTTAGAAGAAACTCGAGAGCGCAAATTGGCAGCAGCCAAGAAAAAGGTAAAAAGCACCAGGTCGTGGCCCCCCAATCCAGCCAGAGATCCCCTCCAATGGCAAGACCACTGCCAGAGTCTATACCACTCCTGAGGCACACCGGGCTGGGGCCCCCAACCCTGGCACCTCTGGCCTCCCCCCACCAAAGTCCTGGCAGTCAGTCCCCACTCCTTCAGCAAAGAAGCCCAGCCCCTGCCCTCACCAATCACTCCAGGGTGACTTGGGTGGGTGACTCCTGGGGCTCCCCACTCCATACTCAGCCCTCACATCCTGCCACCCCAAGCCCAACCTCCCTGGGTTCTCGGGGCTCACCTCTCCAAGGACCTGGGTCTCCCAGCCCCAGGCCCCCCCATTGCCATTCATCCCTGGGTGACTTTGAACTGGTGATTCCTGGGTTCCCTGCTGCAGATTCGACTCTCCCCTCCTGCTGACCCAAGCCCGACCTCCCTGGGCTCTTTGGACTGGTGTCTCCAAGGACCTGAATCCCAGCTCTATGTCCCCCTCCACCATCGTGGATCGGTGACTCAGCCATTGCACTGATGTGGTTCCCCCACCCCCAGGAGGAGTGGAATGTAGTGATGTCACATCCCCCTACGACTGTTCATTACTGCTGCAGACCAGCCATTGATCTTATGAACCCAGTCCCTAAGCATTCTCACCCCATTTCTGGTTCCTTGAGTCACAGCACAAATTTCAGCTGGAAGGGGAATGGGGATATGGACCTAGGGCAAGAGGTTTTCAGGCTGCCTCACTCCCTTCACATAGACATTGGAGTGTGAAAAGCCTACACTTCACCCGTGAGCTCAAAATGTTGTCAGTATCTCTGGGTGGCAATGGGAGAACGAGTTTGGTTTGGTTTTCTCCCAGCCTTCTACTCTCCAAAGAGAATTTAACATTTTTTCTGAGTTCTCCACCTCACATTCTAATTCTCCACGGTTCTGGGACCAGACAGAGCTTCAATCACTGGTCTCTGAAGTGAGATTTGCTCATCCTCTGTGGAATAGATCTTCGGAAACTGAACTTGACACCTTGAATCTTCCTCCTATCATCTCAACCTGGGGCACTTTGAGTGCCACAGGATAAATGTGGGAGATCTTTCTAAAGCATCAGTTTCCCTTGATTCTCTTGAGAGAGGAAAAACATTAATGTACTTAGGGATGACAGTCACATAGGTTTCTAAG